GGGTTTTCCACATAAAAATCTTGGTGTATCATAAATGCTAGACCCTCTCTCCTTATCTGATTACGTGCCGGATTTTCGTACAACGCTAAGACTATAAATATGATATTTCTCTACCGCCGCGAATACTCCAGGACGCAACAACTACCAATTCCTTACAAGAGAGATATCCAAATATTGTGTTCTCTTTGTGTGAGCTGGATATCCGTGCAATGCTAACACGTAGAATTACAACTCTATCGCCACATATATTCTAGCCCGCAACAAATATAATTTCTTGTATTTAAATTTTTTATTTATTTTTATAATTAAAACTATATTTCTTATATTTTATCCACACTGAATACACCATTCATCGAATATTCTCGTTTTCCTTACTCTTTGGTGGGTCGCAACTTTGGTTTCACAACAATGTTCGATGTCAACATCAATATCTGACGTTGTTAATTACCGCATCGACATTACAAAATCATCTTAACATTAAAGTCGGACATTGTCTTTACTTATTTGGTCATCATAGCTCATATCCCATATGCTGTTGGTATTTTGTGACAAATTAAACCGGGCTGATTCTTCAGTAAAAATCTTTTGGGGCTCGATTTCCGTGAGAGAAAAGGCGAATTACACAATAGTTCCCTGCCGTCAAGTCAAGGTGGAATTTCATGTCATCTTGTTTCTATTGCTTAATTGACTAAACGTCTGCACTATAGTATTGTCGTCAAGCAAATCTATAGAGATGGGAAGAAAACTTCCATCTTAATTATCAATTAACATAGCGTGCAAGAATGTCTTTGGCACATCTGGTTCAACTCTCACAAATCAGTGTTGAAACCTCGCAAATTGAGCAACTGGGGAACTTAAAAATCTATGCAAATTAATTGTAAAAAGAAGATACGTCACATCACAGTTTTGAAATCTTAAAGAAATGTTGATAAGTGTATTCACTGAGGGAAAATTTCAAGTGATTATTTCATTCTCTATTTTGATATGAAGGTAAGGAGTTTGAATTATAGAAATCAGATTTGTATTTTTGAGAGTTTTAAGGTTTTTATTTTTTTATTTTTTTTAATAAATAGTTTAGTTTAAAGTTTTATTTTAGACAATTTTTTTACTGTTTTATGAAGTAATTTTTTAATTAAAAATTTTTCTTAAAGTAAAAAAAATGACAAAAAATTGTTCCAAATAAAACTTAAGCTGCTATCAATTGTTGGAAAAATTATTACGTGCGGGTTCGAATTTATCCGGAGACCAATAAAAATATGCTATGTCCTCCCACAAAATGTATGGCGCTCAGTACTTGATACCGCTCGGTACTCGAGTGCGAATCTCCCGTCCGGTGTCCACACAGAATAATCACAAACAAAAGAAATTTACAATGACCTCTTTGGGTCAGTTGAGCGGAAATGATTACCCAGGGGGAACATCATTTAAACAAACAAAATGGCTCCCAAAATCTGTTTTCTTCCAGCTCGTGTTTGATTCGCCATATGAGCGATGAGCCTACGAAATAAGGAAGGTGTGCTGGCTCGTGCGTGATTTGCTGCAAGCTTGAATTTAAATAGCAAAATCGGAAGGCATTCCGTAACGAGATATATATCAAACAGCTTTATACAATTCCTTAAGGATTTGTAATATATATCTTCTGTTCGTTAGTAGTTCAGATCCGCTAGAACTTCCGATCCCTTCATGAATACGGAAATGGAGATTGTTCCTTTCTCTGTGGAATACCTTTCAAATGGCACTACCGTGTGGATTCTCTCTCTTATGAACTACTCCATCGGTAATCAACCCTAGTGTGAAGCTTTACTTGGTGCCATTCGTAAAACTTGGAAGCTAAAAGCTTCGATTCAACTCCTCTTGCTGAAGGATGACTTTTTCCTTCTTAAGTTTACTTAGTCGGAGGATTACGATATAGATTGGTCTGGAGGGGTTTGATTTTTTCTCTAAAAATTATTCGTACTTAAAAATTCTCTCCTCGCTAATCTGTTTTCATTTGTGGGTAGATTGCAATTCTTGAAATTCACTATCCAAAATACCATTGCCTACTGGATAAGAGGTTCTATATTGCCTAAAACTGTCTATAAATTGTTTAAGAAATCTTGCTCCAGATTTTTGTTCTTTGGGGACATTGACTGTAACAAAAAAATGCATATGGTATCGTGGAATAAAGTTTGTATCCCAAAACACAAAGGTGGATTGGGTATTCCTTCTATAAGTGCTCTACAATTTGCATACAACTACTCTGTTATATACGGAATGTATAATTGCTCCTCCCCCCTATCCTCATGGCTCTCTAGTTATTACACATCTCCGTGGAGACCTCCTCACTCTAAATCTACTAAATTTTGGGGTTTTGTTTGTAAAACCGTTGCTCTTGTTAAATCCAAGTTCCAGTTTAATATTTTGCCTAATGCTCCAATATCCTTACTCTGGGATCATTGGTGCAATAATGCTACTCTATCTGAATATTTGGGAGGGGAAATCAACCTTTGTTAAGTTCTTACATTATGAACTTACATTGGAACTTTCCTGTTACTGCCCCATTGCAGCTGAGGTATATGGTTAGTAGCATACCTATTAGTGACAGTGTTGGTCCATATTTGCTCTAGAATAATCGTAACACAGTTAAATTTAGAGATTATATTGAGGAATTCTATAGTGGATTGCCGCCTTGCTATTGGTCTAAGCTGGTGTGGCATAAAAAACACATCCTGAAACATTTTGTATATGTATGGCTTGCTTTAGTTGGAGGCTTGAAAACGGCTGAAGCTATGAGAATAAGAAATATTCAAGTCCCGGATACCTGTAGCCTCTGTCATTCCACTTCTGAAAGTATTAATCATCTGTTTTTTGAATGCCCCATCTCTTACTCTATTTTGGGAAGTCTCATTCCAAAGACTAGGATTCTCCTGCTTAGACCTACGGTGTTGCATCTATTACAATGGCTGGATACTACTTTTGTTGGATCTCCCACGGTTAAAAACTTTTATATATTGATTGTTTGTTGCATAATATACTGCATATGGAAAGAAAGGAACAATAGGAGATTTGGGTTTGCAATTCAAAGTACATCATCCTTATTGATCTGTATTAAAAAAGTGGTTTTTGGGAAAGTTTCAAAGTGAAAAAACTCGAACAATTTGCTGGAAAAGCTTTGATATGGCAGGCTTCTTCTTGATCGTTTAATTGACTGGAACTGTCTGCTTAGCCTGGACGATGATGAAGCTCCATATGTTGGTTCTTGATTGACTGCCCCCTTGGATGGTTTTCGGGCAACCAGCGGTTTATTTATGCCGTTGATTCTTTTTTTAATTTATGAGTCCTAGCTATTTTGTTATGGAGCTATTTTGGGAACTTTGGTTGAGTGAAATCTTTTGTTCTAGCATCTTTGTGCTGTATTTTTGTGCTCTTATGAGCTTCCGCCCCCTTCTTTGAAAAATGGGTCGGTTCGGGTTGACTCGATGGGTTGCCGGGTCAACCCGGAAACCTATTTGAACCCCTGCCCGCGGACTTGCCCGCCCCCTGCCTGTACGTCCGCGCGGCTGCCCGCTACTGCCCGCGACCCCGCCAGCGAATCCGCCCCGCGCGACCACACCAGCTCCCATTAAAAGAGCCAAAAAAGTGGTAAAAGCACAAAAAGGTCTTGAAGACTTGCATCCATGCATCCAATCAGTAGAGCACAGCATGAGTGCAGATGGGTCCAGTGAGGAGAAACGCCAGCTCCAGAAAATCCACTGCCTGCAAAGAGAAACAGCAATACCAAGACAGACTGGACTCAGGCAATTGAATTTGAAATTAGACAGAGCCCTGGTTGCCCGTAGACCATCCAAGGGACTGTCTAAATTTCTCCCAAAAAAAATCCTGTACAGTTGAGTTAATTACTGTATGCTACAGCTATTTCTCATGCTGGCCTTACAATATATTTAGATGATTGATTCTCTGACTGAATCCACAAATCATTTTCAAAATAATATTCGGATTTTGCTTTTTTGGATTCTATTTCCAATTCCACAAATTATAGACCAATCTGAAAGCACCCTCTTACACAACTCTCCTTGGCATATTGGTTGAGAGCTTAGGCTTCCAACTAAAAGGTCCAAGGCTCGAGCCATTTAAGGTATTGGTTTATCTTAAATGGCCTAAATGTCAAAAAAAAAAAAAGCACCCTCTTACCCTCTTTTTTTTTTTCTCATATTTCCTTTATTGGGAAAGGAAAGTAAGCACAAAGAAGATCAATTGGGCTGCAATGTTAAAAAGCAAACCACCACTTGTTATTTCATTCATTATCCTGACATATCACAGCAGAATTTCATGGAGCATATGCCTTCAATTTTGTTTGGGATAGCTTTCTTAATATTTTTTAAAGCAACTTTTTAGCATAAAAAAATAAATTTTTATACTAAAAAGCTGATTTAAAAAATAATAAAGATCATCCCAAACAAAATCTTTATAGCTTATCATTGCTTCTATCTCTACAAGCAGAAAGTTTCTTGTCTCCCTTGACGACCTGGTTCTTTTATGGGTAACATGCTCAATCTTTTCATGTTACATTAAGGAGGTATATAGCACCCCAGCTAATCCCTAGAAGAGCACCAGCTCCCCTAAATATTACCAACTGATCTTACCCAGTAAACAAGTATAAGAAAGTTCTACTCTCCCATCTCCAAAAAAATGGGAGCAAGAGAAAAAAAAAATTCAAATTTCTGAATCAAAACTATCCAATGACCATTGTGTAGCTTCCCCATTAAATTCTTCATGACATATAGTCGCCCTCTTTTGCTCTTCAAATATAAAAACCTATAAAATTTCATCAGCCCCCTCTTCTAAGAACAATTATTAGGTCCGGTGACCGGACGTAGCTCTACGTTCGGTCAACACTGAGATCGCGCCACGTGCTTTTATTCTTTACCGCGCGGCCTGACGACTTGACCCGGACCAGAACCCGGGAATGCTATGTTCGCTTATTGCTAGGTATTACTCGGTATTACTCGATATTGCTAGGTATTGCTCGGTATTTGTCTTCACATAATGGTATTTCTCGTTATTGCCGAGCAAAATCGACAAATACCCAGCAATACCGAGCAATAACTGTCACTACCGGGTTGTCATGAATTTAAAAAACGCACGTGCGACATACCCACTATTCGTCTGGTCAGATCCACGGTTTTGTGTCTGCTACGTGGTGCGATCTCAGTGCCGGCCGAACGTAGCTCTACATCCGTTCACCGGACCAAATAAAAGTTCCTCTTCTACATGGAGGAAACATGGCTCTGACGCCATGTAATGGCGATGGGGCTCTTCACCTCATGAACTCCATCGCTCCAAGAAAGCCAACCAAACTGTTGAGAAGTTGCGGCCACCGTTCCGGTAATGGAAGCAAACGTGATCTCATACGATAAGCTCTGGTTTAGAGAATCAAAAACCAGCTTGCTCGGCGTAACCGTCACGTTCACCCCTGACGGGCTCGAGATCTCTACATCATACTCCTTGCAGACCGAATCTCCGCATCCGGACCCACCAACGTTTTTCAATGTTCTTTTATGAGTAACCACGTTGCTCGAATTAGAGAAGACGACGGAGAATGATGGATAGTTAAGCTCTCCGGGATTCGCAAAAGTTTTTGATGAGCAATTCACGCTGCTTCCGTCCCTGGTAAAAATGGAAATCTGCGAAGCGCTGTAGTTAATGGAACAAAGGAAGGCAAGGTAGTCATCAACGCCGGCGTCATAAACCAGGCCTGGGTCGAGGGCCTTGTTAGGGTCCACATGGCCCGCGCCACGAACGAAAGGGGTTGACTCTTCGCCTGTGGCGAGATCCTTAATGATCTCACCACTATTGTCGAGGTTGTAGGCGGTGGTCATGATGGCGGACTTGATGGCTGCTGGGCTCCAATCTGGATAAGCCTCGCGTAAAAGCGCGGCGATGCCACTAACATGAGGGCAAGCCATTGATGTTCCGGAGATGATGTTGAAGTCGACCCTCCTTGGGTCGTTATCGAGGTCTGTCGGGCTCGTGGCTCTAGTCCATGCGGCGAGGATGTTGACACCCGGGGCGATCACATCCGGCTTTAGGATCTCCGGCGTTCGGTAGTTGGGTCCTCGACTGGAAAAAGCCGCCACTTTTGGCGCCGTTATCTCGTCGCCAATGACCGTCCCCCGGAAGACAATGGTAGCAGTGGGAGAGGATGACGAGCTGATGTAAGCTCGAATCTTTTCACCGGAGGATGCGCCGACCATGGTCGCCGGAATCAGATGCGGGTCTGCTATTAGCTCCTCTCCATACTCTTTTGTGTTTGCAAGAATCATGCCGACTCCACCTGCGAGCTTCACGGCACTTCCCTTGTCAACCCGGGCATTCCCACCGCGGTCGCAGAGAACGATCTTGCCGGCGATAATTGATGAATTGAGAAGCCCGGAAACGCAAAGGCGGGAACCACCATCACCACCGTAGACCAAAGGGAGGTCGGCGGCGGTGACATTGTCGGATCCAGCGTAGAGGGAAACGCCATTGTAAAAGCTCCCATCGCCGAGAACAACATCAGCAGGAAAATCACGGTCAACGGTGGAAGCCCCTACCGTTATAATCCAAGGAGCAACGTTCACGGCGGTGTAATAACTAGGGCCTGAGTTTCCTGCGGAGCAGGACACGATTACACCATGGCGGGCGGCGCCAAACGCACCGATGGCGATGGAATCGCTGAAGTAAGGTGGGGGGTAGCCGTTCGAGCCGACGGAGAGGGAGATGACGTTGGCGCCGTCTGCAACGGCGGCGTCCATGGCGGCGAGGATATCAGAGTCAAAGCAGCCTGCGGTCCAGCAGATCTTGTAGGCGGCGATGCGGGCTTCAGTGGCGATCCCTCGGGCTTCGCCCTCGGCGTAGCCAAGGAAGCTAGCGCCGGAGACGACGGCGCCACCTGCGGTAGAGGATGTATGAGTGCCGTGGCCCTCGGTGTCCAATGGTGATTTGGATTCCCTACTCTCGTCAATCGGGTGGCCGAGGGCCGACTCGTAGCCCTTGTAGAAGAACTTGGCGCCAACGAGCTTGTTGCTGCAGGGGCCCGAAGCGGAGGAGGAATTGAGAAAATCACAGGAGGCGTGGAAGGTGGAAGGAGGTGAGGAGAGATTGGGATCGATGAAGGAGCTGGAGTAGGGGAATATGCCAGTGTCTAGGACGGCAATGACGACGGATGAGGCAAAGGAAGATCGGGGCCAGAGGCCAGAGGAAGTGGAGAGGTGGAGGAAGGAGGGGGTGTGGGTAATGTGGGGGAAACGGGGGCTGTCGGGAACGACGGCGAGGATGTGGGGGAGGAGGCGGAGGGCGGCGGCCTGGGGATCGGTCAAGCGGGCGGCGAAGCCGATGGCGACGCGATCATAGGTGTAGATGATTCGGCCGATTGGGCGGCGGAGATGACGGGGGAGGGAGCGGAGCGTGCAAGAGTACCAATGGAATGGGGTCGGGGAGGTTGACGGTTGGAGGGAAGGGGAGACGTGGATGATGTAGGTGGAACGGTGGTCGGTGACTGCAGTTGGGGAAGCGGCTTGGGAAAGGATAAGGAGGAAGAGGAGGAGGTAGGAGAGACTTTTCTCCATCGTTCCTCCGGCGGTTTGGGGTAAAGGAAGGCCGAGTTGGGTGGTGTGGGAGGAGGACGGGAAGGGTTATACTGGCAGGAAGAGATGTGGTGTTTGTTTTGCATCTGATTTTGACGATAATTACGCCAATGCCATCAATCATGATGCGATGCGTTTGCGTGCAAGTAGTATTTTTTTTTTCCCGGGTTGGTGAGAGCTGATGAAGTGAAGGGCCACCAGAACTAAAATAAAAACTTGCATATAATTTTTAAATAGTTATAATTTTAGAAATTCTTAGTTAATTCGGCTCAAATTCAATACCAGGCATGCTTTTATAGACGATTTCATGAAATTAAATCAAAGTAGGAGCAAATTGAATATAAAAACAAGCTTGCATTACATTATAAAATTTAACATTTTAAAATAAAATTGCAAATGTAATAATCTTAGGAATCATCCACGAAAATTGATAGAGTAATATCTCGATCATAAAATATGTTCCTGCCTTGATGTCACTTCCATCAATGAATCAATAGTCAAAGTATTGAAGGCAAGTACTTCAACTGACGGCATTATATCATCAGATTTGCAATATAAGCCATCTTATATGTCAAACATGATTTCCTTCATATAAGAATCATGCACATTGAGTTATAAATAATGTGATATTTCATCAACAATTAAATCTATGGCGATTGAATAATTGCTTATGCCAATGGTCAATGAGCTTTGTCAAATATGGGAAGAATCAATACGATATCATTGATTGAAAGAGTTTTGTGATATATATAAGTCTTATTACAAGTTCAGTCACAAATTTTTGCGAGCACTAGACATCTTTAAGGTCAGGAGCCATCGTTGAGGAGGATAAATGATTGTCAACAAAGGAGAGATATAGCGTTAAAATTTTATGTTGAAAGAAGGAATATATATATATCTTATTGTGTAATTGGTCAGGCTAAGGATAACGAGCATATGGTTGGGTTATGTAGCTCATATTGTTAAGTTTGTTGAAATTTTTTATTATTAATAAAGAGATTGTGAGTTTGAATTCTATTTATATGATGCATAAATTAATTTGATTTAATTGATCTAAGTATTTCAAAAAATATATAGGGCTATGTTTGTTGGGATTTGTGAGGATATGCTAAAATAGGTGTGGTGATACAGGTTTCAATTAAATAAGGTAGCTACAATAATAGCTACGCCCCATTGGCTAAGGATAGTAGGAGCTGTCACGTAGTTGGGTAAATTGGCGGATGGGATCGGGCCATATGGCAAGGCATTATCTGTAAGGGTTTGGTCAATCAATTACGGAAGAACGCGTGGCGGCATTTGCATTTTGTGGAGGGCAGAGTAATTTTAATCGAGGGCAGCTCACCTCTAAGGAAATTTACATACATATCACTTTATAACATTCTATTTACATATCTAATATCTAAAACTTTAATATTACATGCATACCATCCTATATTATTTTAATATCAAATATACCACTTATATTTCTTTCCTATCACTCATATATTTCATTTCTACCACTCATATTTGGTATGAAAATGAACTATGGGTGGTATTTATGTAATATTAAAGTTTTAAGTGTTAAATATGTAAATAGAATAGTATTAAGTGGTATGTATGTAAATCTCTCTTTTTTTAAATAGGATTTTATTTAATGCAAGAAGTAAACATTTTTTGAGAAATATGAAGCTTTTATTAAAAAAATTAATAATAAAATAAAATACTTGCAGTTGCTTTATTATAATCAGAGTTTCTCTGGAATTTTTTTTTTTATTTTGTATTTCGCTGGCTGAACTTTCCATGCTTTGATGCTGCCATTTTTTTGACTTCTATTTGATTTTTTTTTTTTATAAATAATATATCATGAGCGAGTCGTCATCAAAAAATAGACTCATCAGGTACGAAGCTTGAGAAAATATTCAAACAAAAAATTTTTCAAATTTAAACTCGGAATTTGTTAAATTTTAATTTCAACAAATTTATAGTTATATTGAAATTCTCTATAAAATGAATTTATTCACACAAATTGATTCTGAATCAAGCACTTGACATTTAATTAGAAATTTAGGAACATTAATTAAAAGAGCAAATAATTTTTAAATATTGTATGCTTATAATTAGATCGAATGTCTTCACGAGATACGAGCTCGGGATCGTTTACTTCTAATATTATTAAGGTGTTTAAAAAAATTATTGAGGTGTTTAAATGTTGAAAGGCAATTCTATGATCAAATGGATTGATATTAATAGTCTGATAGAGTGTTTAGATTTCAACTTTATTTATGAAGAGTACCAATATAAAAAATTACAAATAGATGGACTTCCACTTTATATGAAAAATGAATTGAACATGAAGCTTGAGCTTGTATCTTGAGGTGAAATTGAAGAGAGCTCAACCACTAGAACACCCTCATTCAACCACCATTATTGGAACATATGCGTTTAGTCACCATTGTCAAACCACCCATCAATGGACCACTAGCAACAAAGAAATGTCATCGAACCACTACCATTCGACCCCATTGGGCCATTACCATCCGAACAACTCTACTAAACTTCTACCCATAGATTGTCTGCCACAGCTAGCTCTCAACAACCATTGCTTAACATGATCCTCGATCCACCATCATCGCTCAACTATATATGATTCTTTGACCACCATCACCTTACAATGGTCCTCCGACCATTATTTCCCCGTTACAATTCTATGGCCTTCGCCTTTGGGCTATAATTCTCTAACAATCATCGCTATTTACGTTCTTTACATGCTAATCAATGTTAGTCAACATCATATAAATAGCCTAAATCATCCTACTCATGATGGTCATCACTATTTCCAAGCCTATAGTGCAACCTCAATTACACCACATTTATCACTCTCCAAACTTATACCAAAATCTTTTTTTTTTCTTAACTATAGTTATTATTATATCCCAAATTATGCCACAATCTATTATAAATTGTAAATAAAAGGCATAATACATTGTAAGAAAATTATTACTTACTTTTTAATAAATTGCAAGCATTAACTCTCTTTAATTAAGCAAAACCTTCGTAGGTGCAATCACGTGGTTATTGCGCAATTAAGGCCTTATCCAACATAGTTTAAAAGCAGCTAACAACATGTTTATACTAATTAAGGGAGCCTCACGTGAATGTGCTTAGAACGTGGGTCACCACATTGGCTTCCTAAACACCACAGAAGGGTTAAAAAACTATTAAACTATTAATTTCAAACTGCATGTGGTGCCCTAAGGGAGAGTTGAAGTTATAATACTTTATTTTGTATAGAAGATAAGGGAAGTTAGTTATCTTTAGCGTGTAAAGGTCTCTATCAAGCATAGAGAATCATGTTTAAATATCAAGTTGTTTGTGAAGCTTATCTTGATATATTGATTGGGAGCTTTGGCTATCAAATAAGATGTTTGAAGTTTAATTAAGCTTTGTATGTGATGTGTGTGTGAGTTTGACTTTATTAATTGGCTCAAAAGTTAAATAATAATAATAATAATAAGTTGTCTCTAAATTTAAGCATGTTGGCGTGTGACTGGCATGTATTTTCCTAAATATTAAGGAGAGTTTGGAATTTTTTTTTATACAAATGAATTATAATTAGTATTTTAAATATTTGTTGATTTTCTTTTATTGAATAATGAAAAATTTTATTTAAGTGGTGAAGACAACCGATAGGGCATTAGTGGCAGTCAATGATATAATGATAATAGCAATGGCCCTGAGTGAGCTAACAGTTGTAGTAGCGATAACTGTGATGT